ATTGCATGGATGCCTTGTCTTGTTGCCTCGACTTTCAAATCTTTCAACACCTGCTGCCTTCCTTACATAGTCAGCTTCCGGCTTTCGGGGTCGGCGGCACACGGCGGAAGCCGATAAACAGTGCTGTCGTATGCTGAAGTGCACAACATGAGTCGGGAAGCCGTTGAACCAACGAAGCTTGAGTTTTTTGCCTTACCCCACCTGACGACTCTACAAACACAAGCATGCCATAGCTTCCAAATCAAGACGTGTCAAATACACTACACCGCTCACTTCGCAAAACTACCAACAATTCAGACTGGCAGGAGCTACTTGTATGGGGTGACAGTGCATCTAAGATCCAAGTTCAAACTCCCTATGCAGCCTATGCATGAACTAAGGCGGCTCCTACATCGAAGAAGCATGGCAACTCTGGAAGGACATCCCACACTTCCAAACTGTTTGAAGGCGGTAACCTCCGCCCACGAACCCTCATGATTCCCCTTCTTCGGCTCCGCACATCGCCGGAGGCAAATAGAATCTCGGCTGCAAAGGGCAAGGGCCAAGGCCTGCTTTCGAAGATGCCATGAAACGATGGATCTATGAACCACGAGGTCTGGCCACAGCTTGGGCCCCGACGAACATGATGGAGCGCTTCCCCTGCAGCCCCGCCGCGAAGCAGTCCGGGTGCTGAGCGCGGGCGACACATGGCGACATGCCAGCCAGGCCAGCTCTTGGCTCGCTGTCCCAAAACGTTTGTGCCTCTTTTGACCGGGCCCTGGCGATGCCGATGTCGGCGACCTTCTTGACCTCCGCAAGAGCTCTCATCACCGGCCGTAATTTGTTGAAACACCTTCGGCAACCCACAAGGCTCCCGCAATGCCCTTCCGCCGCGCTGCATGCGCAATCTGCTTGGCCTGTGCCATCTTTGTAGCACCGCGACTCTCCAACCAGTACATGTGAGCCTTAAGTGCCAAAGTGGTGATTCCTGTGTGTTGCCCCGTTCGCCCACGTGGGGGAATCGCCATTTTGGAGGATTTCGGCTGTGAAAACGACAATATTCAAATGGTGGTTCCCGCTTACGGAAGCACACTGAATGAAGAAGCAGAGTTACATCCTAACCGTGTGTATGATCGATTAGGTTCTCGAAGTTCTCAACTCAAGTCCACACGAGCACACACTGCTAGGGTTGAGCCTAAACCCTTGTCAGTGTAAGAATCTTGTCGTTGTGGTTGGAAAGCTTGTCGGTGTGCACCTAAACCCTGTTGTGGTAAGGACCTATTCTGCTCCAACCACGACAGACCAGAGCCCCACACCTGGAATCAGCTGCTAAATTACTTGCTGTTTCGCTTCTACTCGTGTCCACTTGCGCAACCCCTTTAGCTTCCCGAGACCCTGAACGCACAATGCTGTTGGTCACAGCCTCTGGTGCGCTGTCACACTGCTCGTAGAGGCTCTCTGCCTGAAAATTCCATAGCTTCATGTGCGTGGCTTGGAGATGCTTTGATGAAGTTAACTCGGCCCTTTGGGGCTTCAGCAGTTCGAGTCTTCGGCTTTCGTAGAGTCGTAGACCGAGAAAGCAACCAAACCTCCAAATCCTAGAGCAGGACTTCTTGAATCCTTCGACCCAAACCCCGAGGCACGCAAAGGCCCAGACCCGAGCATGGTTCTCCAGCGCGGCTTGTAAGAGGGGCGCGGCGTTCGAATCCTCGGACAGAGAGGCAGCGTGGTCGGAGCACCAGGAGGAGGGGCAGTTGCACTGCTTGCACTACGGCATGTACGATGCCGAAAGCCGGGCCCCTTCGGAAGGTCCTGTAATTAAGCGACACCGTAACCAAAAACCGTGGATGTTGTGAAGACCCAGTTGGCGCCCCCCCCGTTGTGATGCCGCCCCGCTCTCACACCCGAACCGCAATCATCTCGCCCGCACTCCGTAGTCATGGAAGCGGGTATGGCGAGTCCGACAAATCTTGTGGACAAGAACTGAGGGAACCTTGCCAAGCCTCTCACAAACTCGCGTGCCGCGGCTTGCCCGAGGCCGCCACCATGTCTGATCCCCGCTCGAGGGACACAACGGGGACCTTCCGCCAGGCCGGATGCTGGTGACGGTGTTGTAAGCGCTGTGGGGGCGGAGAAGTCACAAGTGCCCTCACAAACGATACCCATGCGACCAATCCTCCTTCATCTTCGTTGCAGCTTCTCTCACTGCACAACTTTCCCCGCGCCATGCGATCGCTCGTCTTGCTGTAAACAAGGCCCACACTCCGTCCACCACCTCGCGGAAATGCGGCGAGTGAGGGGAGGAAGTTCCAGGGGTTGAAATCTTCAACTTCAAGAACCTGCTCGAGCTCGTCAATGGATGACTTGAGACTTGGCTCTGCTTTACTTTGCAGCGAGCGAACTGTAAAAGACCATCGGGTGTCACCCCTCCCAAACCCAGAAACCCTGAGCCTAAGTTCGAAAACAGTGAGCCTGCAGCATCACGCCGGTACCGGCGGCTTCCTCCTCGGCCCAGATTTGGCGGCGCGGGCTCCAGGAAGAGATTGGGATATTGCACAGTGACAGTGGCAACACAACTGACAGGTTGCCACAGAAGAGAAGCTAGCAGAAAGACATTGATGCCACAGACCGAGTCCTTCAGGTGATCAGAAAAGGCACTAGATCGATGGCAAACTTGCTGACCGCTCGACGAAGCCATGTGGGGAAACCAGACCGGTCTGCCAGAAGCCCTGAGAGAAGTAAGAATAAAGGTTGACATCACGAGAATACTGAAGTTCTCAATTCCTGAAGATTCCCAAATTGGCTTGAACCGAGCGTCGTTGTGGGGTTCCAGCTTCCGTTTCTGACCTGACGCCTCGCCGGCGTTCTGGGCGGCGCCCCAACTCTTGTAGCCTCACATGAGATCAGAACTCCTCTGCAGACAGCTACAGACGAAAGAGAAAGACGAGCTGAACTGCTCTGTGTCTCTCTCTCAGCTCACGGATGCAGAAACCCTCTGACCTGAATCTCGGCTCCAGTCGCCGCGCTGCCTTTCCTCGCGCTGGGGGCGTATCTACACCAAAAAAAGCACAGCGGGGAGCCCACGGCCAGAACCCGCCAATGGCGCACTGCTTGCTTCACCGTCGCTCTCTTGCTCACGGTATGTTTCTGCAACAGCTCAATTCTTCCTTACGAGGATACACGCAGCCAGACCTTTTGACCACTTCCCTTGAGATCTACACTCCAGCAAACTGCTGTCAACAGTTTAACATGGCAAAGCTACGATGCAGCACGATGCATTGAACACTTCTTCTGCGAGGAGGTTCAGTCTGAAGGACTCCCTTGCCAAATTAATCGAATAGAAACCATAGATCATCATTGTCACCACAACTACCCATGTGCGTACCGGCTTTCATGTCGTCCATGTACTTGGGGCTTCGGGAAATTCCCACGCATGCAGTCAAACAGATGTCCGGTCCCATCCCCAGTCAGCGCCGACCGTCTTCGTCCATCTGCCCATCAAGCCTTCGACAACGCTTCTCTTGGACTCGGACACTTGGATTTGACAGTGTGGATTTGCCTGAGTCGTAGCAACTTTAGTTCATGTGGCTTCCCATGTCGTCCATCAGGGAGGCAGTTCTGCTTAGCTCGCTCTTGACTCCTAGCGGGCAGCAAGGCCTGTGACGGAGTAGTTCCAGTCATGACCCTGGCTGTCGTTCTGGTCGTCCCAGCCTCCAGGGACATGGAGGTCTCTTCAAGGTTCGGAGCCCTCAGATACAATCGGATTTCGAGGGCTGACATTGGAAGCTCGGAGGAGTCAGAGCATAGACATCTGCATCAGACTGAGGGCATCGTCGCGTCATATTCAATGAATCTGCAGATATATGGCATGCGTGCATGGGGATGCACAGATTCAGGTGCACATTTGCAACTCGAGAGACGGGTCTGGATAGGAGGAACGAGCGAGGGAGGGAGGAAAAAAACAGCCACGCCAGGCCCGCCAGGCCTCCGGTCTTCCAACTCCAACTACCGTTGGAGTGCTCACGCCATGCGTGCTGTGATCCTGCGGCTGCGTGATGTGGTGCTGCTGCCAAAAGCACGAAGGGCTCCCCACCTGAGTCCCAGTCTTGGCCCTCGCTGCGCTCCGGCTGGGACCGGGGAAGGCTCACCGCCCTGCAGGCTAGCCGGAGCTTTGAGCGGGCGATGTCTCTGACTTGACAAACTTTAGGCAGCACACACAAGCAGGCCTCCGCTTCTGCCACGCTGCAGGCGGTCCCGGTGTGTCCTTGTAGGGACAGCGTGGAATCTGCTTCTGGGAACTGGAGTTTTGTTGTTAAGCATCCTCAGGTTTCAGGGCGATAGTTTGGTGAGGGTGGGAATCGGAAGATGCCAGCTGACGCAAAGGACTGCAGAAGACAGTCGAAAGCATTCAACAACCTCCGCCCTCAGCATCACTGACATTCGCAATTGTGCTTGCACACATGTTTCACTTGTGTTTCACCACAATTGTTCACATGTCTGTTCAGTTCCCCCGCCCGCCCTCCTGATCATAAAAGCAATCTGAAGAGAGAACTGCGTTGCAAATCTTTTCACAGGAATGGTCGGAGACGCGATGCAGGCAGGTATCGGCTGTCTCAAACAGGCTAGGCTAGCAACAAGCCTGCCTGACAGCGCATATCATTGCCCACCTGTCTCCGACCTAAAAACAGTTTGAATCGATTCGTGCTCTTAGTCAGTGCTGCATGTGGCACACATCTTGGTAGCAGCGTCAGCGCCCATGCACCAAGACTTGCCCAATGCAGACTTCCACCCGCATTTGGTGCGCCACACGTGTTGCGGCAATTTGGGCTGGAAAAGCACGGTACAGTGGGCCACACCCGTATCAATGTTGGTGATGTGCTCACACTCAAGAACGGACTGCAAGCCACGGATGCGTTCCGTATGCTCTCCGAGCTGCCCAGACACAGCCTGAAGCTGCTTCTGAATGTCAGCAACATCCGCTTTACACACTTCGGCCTGGCCTTCCAGCTTAGTCAATGCAGCGGCAGCTGCAGCAGCATCGGTTTCTAACCAACAGTCCTGGTTCTTCGTTCGAAGTGATGCGTCACGAGCAAATTTGCCAGACTTAGTTCGAGCAGCGATGTCCACCGAATTTTTCAATGGTGCTTCTTTGCAGTAACGCAAAATCGTGCTTGAATCCCACCTGCCAAAAAGCTGAGTGACGTATACTTCAATCTGATTGATAGTAAAGTGCTCCGCACCGGAGCGTCGGCAAACATGACCTGTGAACAGCTGCTCCCCATGCGGGCCCTCAGTGCGCAAGCCCAACATTTGAGCAGCAGCCACGAGGGATGCTGTCATGCGAGCTTTGCTAACAACTGAACCAGCAGCGTCTGGGAACAGCGGGTGCTGCGGGTCGACAGACCCACTTCTCGAAATCATCATCTGTCGCACCATATCAATCTGCCTTTCAAGAGCGTGGAAGGGGCAAATCGGGTCGATGCTGGGCAGATCGCACAGGCACCCATGCACTCTGTGCTTGCCCACTGCTCGGAAATCGTTCTTGGAGGTGGGCAGGATGAGCCGTGCTTCACCACCGCATATGCTGGCATCGCCGAACTGAGCTCCTGCTAACTCGATCTCTCTCAAGAGCCACCAGCAGCCTATGACTGCCGTGTTGCGTGGAGCCACCGGACCGCCTGTGACCCAAGGTTCAGTTGCAGCAGGCAATTAATTCACCAAGTCGAGAAACTGGCAAGGCATGTGTTTGCTTCGCATCACCTTGTCCGCGAAGGCAGGAACGTTTGGCACGAGCAGCTACATGCCCAACCAAAGGGTGCTCTATATGTCCCAGATCTCGCGACTCGACACGAGCAGCACTGAGGTAGGCATACGCGTCCTTGTAGCCGCCCTTCTTTAAGCAAGCCATCACCGCTTTGACGCTTGCAGGCAGAAGGGGAAAGACCGGCACGTGGGAGCCAAACCATTTCTCATGCAGTCGCCCCCAAAGTTTCAGCCGCGATGCGTTTGAGGAGCGTGTAGTAGTAGCAAGGTAATCACGTTCAAGTTCGCGCAAAGCCCGGTCCTTGTCTTCACACGCAGCCGCTGCAACCTCTGCGGAAGCTCGTTTGAGCGACGGCCGCGCGGGCACATCCCAGCGTCCAGCTGAAGTTCCACTTGGGGCGCATGGCTCCGAGTGGGCTTTGGACGGTTCGTGGCGATGTTGGGCAGGTAGCTCGGCGATGTCCTTCGTAGGCAGTGGAAGTACTTCGACATCACAGGCAGGATCACGCTTCCGTTTCGTCTTCTGCTCGCCCACCTTTCCTGCAGCACGTTGCCGCTCAGTTAGCCTCGCAAAGCTAGCTCCGCCATCTTGCCGAAGGCGAGCGGCCCACATGCACAACGCGTTTCAGTGGGAGGGACATTCGAGTCGAACAGTCAGCTACGAAAACTTAATCTACACGAGTCACAGATACAGCGAAATGCCTGCAGCAACAGTTCTGTGCCAATGCATGCGAAACACAAGCGCAGTCAAATGGCAGGTTGACCAGACATGCACTTTGCAAAAGAACTAAATTTAGAGAATTCAAGGGTGTTTGCTCGCTTGATGCAACTCGTCCCCGCTGCAGTCCGAAGAGCCTGAAGAGCCTGAAAGGATGGCCTTCGCCCGACAGAAGCGACCCCGCAAGGGGAGGAAAGAAAAGGGGCGCACCCCCCGAAAAGGGCCTGGAACCTGAACGGAAAGGCCCCAGCCTGAAAGAAACGACCCCTGACGGGGAGAAGCGAAAGAAAAAGGACCGTAGCGGGAAGCACTTGCACATCAGCCACAGCAAACGGCCGTCAGGTGTTTTCTCTCGAAACGAAAACGACACCAAGGTAGAGTGACTAGACCGGCGGCCAACTGCACACGCGCGGTCCGTGCTCTTGCAAGGCCTTAGGCCGAGGGGCGGTTCTGTGCAAGGCTTGGTGCTGTCAGGAGCCTAGTACACAAATGAACGATGAACGCTTCGTGTGAAAAAAAAACAACTCTCAATTACAATGGTCATACACAACAATTGACGGCGCCAGGCACAACCGGGCACGCGGCGCGCATGCCACGCAACAGGCAGCGCCCACGGCCACGTCGCGCACGATTCAGCGGAGGCAAAACCATGCAACAAGTTAAGTCTCCGCACGGTTTGACCATGCTAGAAAGAAGGAGCCTCGTCTGGGCGGAACGTCCGTTCTTGCCACTTCAAGCAAACTCGCAGGCACTTTGTACCCACAGCTGAGCCGGCTCAAGGCGTCGCATTCGAAGTTGCATACGCCAGGCACATGCGCCACTTGGAAAAACGCATGATATGAAGCCATCCGGATGCCTATTTCAGCACCCAAGGCGTTCATGGAAGGCGTGGAACTTGCCATCTTCATGGTCGCATTAAGAGCAGCCCAACTGTCGGACTCAATCATGCCGACAAGACACGACTGGAGACAATCAGCCCATGCCACGACACTCGTAAGAATGGCAAGAAGTTCCCACTCTGCTTGGAAGGCTGGACCGCCAACTGTTGCAGCGAAAAGACTCAAATCGTCCGGAGTGCGCGGTGAGGCCCACCACTTTCGCGGCTTGCCTTTGTAGAACAAGATCCCGCCCATGCCATATGGGCTTGCATCCGTCCGAATAACAACGTCAGGGTTGTGTTTTCGGCGTACTAGGAAAACTTTGCGTTCAAGCGGCAGCGGCTTGCCAGAAGCACCTTGCAGCGCTCCCTCCAGCAGCAGTGAAGCCCATCGCAGCGCATGCTTAACAGGCTTCGTCAAGAGCCAATGTGTCGGTCTTTTTCGCACAGTCGCCTTTGGAGGCTTGCCATCACCGGACTGAGCTGACACAGTGGCCCACAGACAGGAAGCGAAGCCTCTCATCCACGGCAAGATGCCTCCGATCCAGCTCATGCGGCTGGCAGCGCTGACCAACTGTTTGCAATCTACAAGGTTGGCCGCTAGAAGTGCAGAAATCTCTTCTTTCAACTGTTCCAGCTTGGCGTGCGGTACTGATAGCTTCACGTACAGGCCATGGGTCGGATCATGCCCTATTGCGATGGAAACACCAATCCACTCAATGGCTTTTCCCAAAGAGCCCTTCTTGTATGCCATCTTACATCCCAGCACCTCCCAAAACAAGAACAGTTGTGCAAGTAGCGGCCGAGCGGGACCAACAATGACATATGCAGGATCATCAACGTAGCACTGCAGACACAAACGCCACGATGGCCACAATGCTTGTGACACCCTCATGCAGGCTGCGGCTAGCCGTGCCCAAAGTAGCGGAGCAGAAGCTAAACCGAAAGGTATGCGCCCGTAAACATACCACTTCCCGAAAGCCTCGAAAACTAGCTTGCCTTTCACTTGGGTGTGCAAACAAGGTGTGGAATGCATCCGCAAAATCAATGGTGCCCAATGTTGTCATTGCATAGCCTTCTGCAAGAGATTGCTCAAAAACATCGAGGATGGAACTCACGTAGTCCTCCAAGCGCGGAAGGATGACCTTTTCGGGATCATGACAATCACCGTTTACACCAGAACGCAGCAGGTCCAGTATGAGCCTTAACTTCAAGGTTAGATCCGCCCTGCGCTTGGCGATGCACGCCACACGGCTCGCCACAGCGTCTGGCCACTGCTCCAGGACCTGCTGCCAGCTATCAAACTGTTCGACGAAACCTTGCTGTAGTAGACGCTCAATCTCGGATTTGGACAGCAGCTCACCGTCCACGGTGTCGTAAAAAGAACGATAGTTGACATGCTTCGCAGATTCAAACTCCACGTTGGCTTTGGAATGCGCCCGCGAGGCCTCGACTTGTTTGCTGGGCCCGGCTGCAACTGAGAAAACTCCGTGGCAAGCGATGCGCATGTGGATGCCTGCAGGGGCACCTTCACGCATCCATGTAGGCAAGGACACCTCTGGATCAGACGCTTCCTGCAAAATCCTCTCCCACAGCGCGTCGCAGTAAGAGGAACGAACATCAGAACGACTGTGTTTGCCAATATCTGCATCCTGCTTTGCACCGAACTTGCGCAAGAAAATGGTCCGCACCAGCTGCAGCACATTTTGGTCCAAAGATGTGGCAACCTCTGAGCCTAAGCCGTCCACCAGCGAGTTCGCTGATGCAGCCACCTTTTCGTTCTTGTACAAAGACTCCAAAATGTTGGCAATCTTCGCGCCCACCATCCGCAGGCTGGACTGCTCGCAACCGCCATCTGCGGATTGCGCAAGCCGCCCATGGCTGCAGTATGCTCACCTTGCTCCTTTGTCTTTTCGGGGTGTTGTACACAACTGTTGCTGTGGGAAATGGAAAAAGCATCAGCAGCTGAATGCGAACGCTCCCACGTCGCTTTGCGAGACCGTGAGCGCTCTCGCCTGCCTGTCGTTAGCTGTGACCACCGCTTGGCTTCCCCTTCAAGCTCAGCACCTGGTGGCAAGGCACTGAGCGGGGCGTGTCCCTACTTGCTGGCCTGTTCCCCGCTCTTGCGGGCAGTGGGGCAGTCCTTGGTCTTGTGCGGCTTCAAGCACAACTGGCACAAGTGAGCGCGGTTGTTGGGGCAAGGCTCGGTGCATGTGCCTTTGTGCCAATTGAAGCAAATCTGAATGCCATCCTCATCTGTCATGAAGAACTTCCCACTCTTTCTTGGGTGCTTACTGCCAGTCTGTCGCGCAGTCTGAGGCTCAATGCGCTGCTTCTTGACATGAGGTCCTCGAGCTCCGTCTTCATGGCGTCCATGCGCTTCTGCTGGGATTGCCGGCGCTTCTGGGATCTTGTCAATGTGGTGATGCCCTCGGCACCAATCGCCATGCTCTCAGGATCAGCTGCGGGCTTGTGGCGATTGCCACGCGCAAGAAAAGCGAGGGCCGGCCTTCGAACTTCCTTGTCCCAATACCGATCGTCCCGAGCAACAGCCACAAAGACCTCACTCCAAGTCACTGGCTTGCCCGCGTCACGTTCGAGCTGTCTCTTCATTCTCGGCATGTGCTCTGCAAGTGCTCGGTCTTCAGCTTTGCAATACAAGTGCCAACACTCTACGTTGTCAGCCGCGAGCTGACGGAAAGCCTCTAGGTAACACTCCAACGCAGCAGGTGTAGCCACTAACTTCGGTTCTTCGCCAGCTGTATCTTGATGAAAACGGAGCATCAAAATAATGTTGGAGTAGACCTTCCAGCAGGCGTACCAAGTGGCATAGTCCGCTGGTCCCGGCACTTCAGAGGCCCTGTACGATCCGTCTGGTTGCAAAAACCACGATCTGTGCTTCAGCACTTTCTGCATTCGCCGACCGTACGGTGTGAGAATACTGAAATCGCCATACGGTTCCAGTCCAAGTTTCACAACACGCGTGTGCATGGCACTGATCTGATCGCCAGTTGGTTCACTGTCTACCAGCGGCTCGCCTTGTTTCAACTCAAAGTAGTTGTCAAAGGCTTGCTTCTCTTGGTTTGGACTAAGCGGGACCACGTCGCTCTCATCCGTAGGATCCAGCACGGATGCTGCTTTCACACGCCGCTCTGCCTTGGAAGCAACTGCTTTCAACGCCGTGGCCAACTGAGAGCTCGTGTCTACACCAGTGAGTGGACTGACAACGGCGGCCGGGACGGCCACCGGCAACCCTACGACGACTTTGCACGTCCGAAAGAACAGCTTGACAGCACCTCGTTGCATGGGTGTCAATACCTTGTCTTCGACACGCAAGTCTTTCAGGGCGGACTCGAACTCGGCCAGCTCCATGGCAGCAATTTGGCGCGGATGAATTTTGGTCCAGTTTTCTTCAATGCCCAAGCGGTCGATCAAGACATCGCGCACAGTCGTGGGAAGTTTGACCCAATCAGCGACATCGCAGATCGTCTCAAGCTTGGACTTCTCATCAGGTGTTGGATCCATGCTGCGGCGATCTTTGTCCCACCTGGCAGCAGAAGCTGCCGCCGCAGGGACAGTGCAGCACACCTAATCGGAAGATGCCAGCTGACGCAAAGGACTGCAGAAGACAGTCGAAAGCATTCAACAACCTCCGCCCTCAGCATCACTGACATTCGCAATTGTGCTTACACACATGTTTCACTTGTGTTTCACGGTATAGTGGCCGAAGGTGCATCGGAATTCCTTTCAGAGTTCAGAGCCTCGACATGCCCGAGATTTGATCTCTCTCATGCAGTGACCACGTTCAAACGGCTGCGAGACACGTCGCTGCCTCTGTGCAAGTGCTTGGCTCCTTGTAGAGTCGGGGGCGCGACATTGACCGGTCCGACATCTCGTGCCTGGACTTAGACATGGCTTGTCTCAGTCAGTCAAGGGGGCTAAGGGGGCTCGCGGCTGTGCCTCTCCGAGCCACGATCGGACCATGCACGTCCGTGCCTCACAACTGTCCGAGTAGGAAACACTTTGTGAGCTGGGGGGAGTCTATCCAAGGGGATGAAGCTCCCGACCTGATGCCAGTCATGCTTGCACCAACAGCGAAAGGGCTCAGTCGCGGCCAGCAACCGGACTGTGCACACATTCCATTCTCAGCATGTGTATCCCCACGCCTGCTTCCTCCGGGCAACCCAGCCTCTCCGATCCCTGTTCTGACCTCTCCCGCTGCCTCAGCACGAGCAGTCTCGAAGATGCGAAAGCAGAAAGCACTATGCACTTGCGTGGAGGAGCTTCAACTCACGATATGAAACTTGCCACAGCAACGAGAAGTGCTGCAATGCGGCCATGCGGGCAGTCATGCTTCAACTGGAAAAGACGGTCATGAAAGCGACAAGCGGGATCGTCGCTGTGTCAACTCAAATTTCTGGGTGTGTAACTTTTGGGCTCGGAATCTGTGCATATCTGTGATCTGTGTCTATGCAACTATTCACTGGAGGATTCGATAGTGTTCAGGGCACCAGTAGCTCTGCAGTACATGCACAAGGCAGACAGGCCTCTCTGACCTGCGATCGGACCACTCGCTCTTCTGCCTTCCGAGTCCGACTGCACAAGTCTGCGCAACGGCTGAAGTGCCGGTGTCGGTGCCGTTCACACAATCGTTGTCCTCAGAAGACCCCACTTTATTGAACGTCTGCAATGAGACGACTGAGCCCGGACAAGGGCCAGCATGCGGCTTTAGCGGGACGTGCTTGAATTTTGTTTACAAGTTTTTCCCGCCTCTCGGACTTGTGCTCGGACCACTCGCGCTCTCCCTCGCACCTGCCCACGGGCAAACGGCCGCGTCTGCGTCATTGCATGTGAGCGGTTCTTCTAGAAGATTTGCAGATGCAGTCAGATGCAGCTTGGTTGCAAAGCCCAATACCAACGCATCAGCACGGGATGCCCCGAGTATTGAATTCCGTCCGACACTCCCAAAAAGCCTAATGGAAGTCCAAAGAGTGTCGCGCCTCGGAGCGCTTTCCCACTGGCCGGCATCATTGGCCTCAATCAAGGCTGCAGTTGTTCGCCATGTGCCTTCAGCCGGGATCTTCGGCACGGATCCAAAACCACAAAACCGGAAACCAGGGAAATCTGGCCCCTACGGCATCAGCCTTTGGCCCAGCCTTGGCCGAACGTTGGTCTTGGGGCCGGGCCTTGTCCCCGTCGTTGGCACCTCTTTGTTGGAGGCTCAAATGATGCCAGCCACTCTTGCAACTTTCAACCCGGCCCCAACTTCAGACATCCTGAGCACCGCTGTAAAAAAAGATTCTTGAACGAAGGTTCGGTCGGCAGTGAAAAAGTTCAAGAGCTGGGCTTGAAGGGGACCCGTTAGATCGAAGCTGCGAAGCTGCGACACTTGACAGAAGCTGCGAGATTCGACAAAAGGTGCAAAACTGCGAGACTCGACAGAAGCTGCGAAAAGGTGCACAAAGCTTTGAAGCTACCTGTGTCAGTCGCTGAAGAAAGCGTAGCGAACGACACGTCTCAAGTCCTCCTACGAGCTGAAACCCCAATCCTGGAACCATCACGCCAAACAAGCTGGGTGTTCGGACAACAATGCTTCATTAAGGACATGCCTCTCTAGATGCTTGCGGTTGTCCGGACGGGAGGGCTATCCGGCTAAGCGCGAAGTCGACAAAACACACTTCAGCAGCAGATAGCACGAAACACAGGTGGCCAAATCAAAACTGTGCGATCGAGAGGCCGCTGTCCCCTTGCGACCCATCCATGCAGGTTGCGTTTGCTCAAGAAAGTTGATGAGGTCTGAATGCTGACTTGGCTTATGAGTGCTAAAGGGTTCCAGCAAACTGGAAAGCGAAGCAGCTAAAGCCGCCGGCAGAGCACATCCTCCTCTCCGTCCCTCGGTTCCTAAACCCTAAACTTTAACCCTGGCAAGGGTTCCCCTGTCTGACAGGCCGTCTGGCAATGTCGTATCTTCGCAGCTTCACCCCCCTGACCTTCCCCCCAGGCCCATCTATGAAAAAATGAACCCACGTGTTGCCTATACAGTTGAAGAGCTGCAATCGAACCAAACTCGTCGAGGTCCCAACTTTTTCTCATGGCCAACGATTCTGCATGCTCATTTTGAGCTGCAAGGGGCAGCACCATTGAGAATCGGTCCGACAACAGTGCTTCGGAGGAGTTTAAAGCGACTGCATGGCTTTAAGGGGTCCGCCCATTGGAAGCAATAACAATTATAGAATAATTGTCTGTTAACATGTCTAATCCATGGTGGAAGTTCGCAGCTCATAAGTCGAACCCTAAAAATAAACGAAGCCCTGCTACAGACGCGTGGTAGCATTGACCACACAACAGTTGCTGCACCTGGAAACACTACTACGAGCTTGAAGCGGTCACCAAACCAGATGCCGTCCATCTACAATGCAAATGCAGCAAAATGAACAAACATGTTCAACAGAACAACAATGTGAATCTTCAAGAGTGAACCGCAAGACCTTGCAAATGCTAATGCCGACAACACGAGCCTGGACGGCCCGGCATGAACCGAGAACCATTGAATTGCTCTGAGACTAGCAAGACCTCGGCTCAATCAGCAGCTCCTTCTCAATCCTCAGCATCCGAACACGTTGCGAAACCAAAAGACCGCCAAGGGCCTGACCTTTACGTTTGCAAATGTCTTCAACGCCGGAAGGTGACCGGCATGATCGCAGTAGTTGTTGCTAGCACCCCATGGCCACAATCTGCCCACAATCTGCCGACACAACTCCTTCTGACTGTAGCAGGGCAAAACGGACCTTCTGATTCTGCGAAGGAGCAAACCCCATATGTTTCCATCTTGGCTTATCGGGCGACTGGCAGCTATGGCTCCTTCCTGACTGCTTCGTGAGATTTCGTGACCAATGATGTCGCTTGGGGCACCCCTGACGACCCTTTCATACTGCATAAGTAATGACATGAAGAACACTCTTCTGAAATGTCTCCCCCCGCACACGGGGCTCGCACATTGACTGGTCCGTGAATTCAAACTCCATCTCCGTGAGGATGGGATGCGACTGCACTTGCTTGCCCTGCAAGATTCAAGTGTGGGAGCCAGTACTGGTTGGTGGTAGGCCCGGTCAGGAAGCGCGACCCTCGACTCCACAGTTCACGTCCTTTTTTCATCGACATGCTTGCGTGCTTCGAAGGAGAAGACGCGGGTCGCGCCAACGAAACGGATGCCCTCTGCCAGTGTAGCCGGGCAAATTCGCAGGGGAACTACAAGCAGATGGGAAATCCGACCCAATCCTGCTGTGAGTTGGATATCAAGACCGAAGCCGCGAGCTAGTTATTCAATATCGCTGTGGATGTTAGATTGCCGGGCGAGCCGCCAGCCGCCCCACCCAACCGCGATCAGCTGCAATCGGCTAAAGTCGGCTAAAGGCCGCATGGTGCCGAGCAGGTGTTGCACCAGAAGTAAATGCAGACCACCAAGCAGGCCCATGCGAGGATCCTCAGCTCATTCCGCTCAGTCTGATCAAGCAGTGTAGACCCAGCCCGGAAGATAACTGAACGAGGCCTGTGGCTTTGCCGGCCGAAAAGAGTCTCCAACTGCTCAGCCAAGATCGTGAAATCGAGAAAGCCAGCCGAGATGCTGGCTGGCCAGGTGGGAGTGCAGGCCAGGGATCAGTGTGGCCGTCTTTTCTGCATAGGCCGGAAACTCCTTGCGGCGTTGCTTGCAGATATGATGTGAAAGACTTTAGGTCGGAGACTTGCTGAACGCCTCATGCGATCGGAGTTGAGGGCAGAGGAGACGGTTTTCTGGTTCTTACAGATTCTCGCAAGATCTCGCAAGGAAGGGAAGGACTCCGGCGACTCTGGAAGCGTTGGCCAGGACTTGTAGGTAGGGGCTGGGAGCTCGAGTTGCCATTGAGGGTGTGCGTGCGCGTGTGTGTGTGTGTGTGTGTGTGTGTGGCGGACGGAGAACATGCAGATGCGCTTCATTCACTTCGGGCACAAGTAGAAGGGCCTTGTAATCTTCCACTTGGATATCTGGCGGCAAACCTGGCTGCTCTTAGGCTTGTTGCAGAAGAGCCTTGGTGAGCGCTTCTTCATCACCTTTGCTGGTCTTCAAGCTCCTGCGGGTAGCGCTGTGCCAGGTAGCTGTCGGAGTTGGGAACCTGGTCTGCCCGCCCATCACTGAAACGGATCTTTCCACCAGCTCGAACTGAAAACAGCACGTCCTGTTTTGGTCGGTCTACTCGGATGCCCCAGTTGGAAAGCTCCCAGATCCTTGAAATTCTGGGCATGTGCTGCAGCTTGGAGACGACAACAATGACGAAGGTGAAGACCATCATGATCGGAATGCTCCTCGGTGAGCAGAGTATGCAGAGTTCAGGGTTTCGGTTCCTCAGCCCTTCCGCGCAGAACGAGCGGAGTGCGGATGTGACAAGGCTCAGTGCGCAAGTGGTTCCTGCGGCAAGCGACCAGCCTGCAGCGCTTTGAGAGGCCACAAATCCGAGCCCCTACGGAGTCTGGAGTTCACGCTGAAGAGCCTCCTAATGTTGCCGGCTTTACAGAGCTAACCTTATGTAGATGGCTGAGTGCGAAAGGTCCGAGATCACGAGCACACGTTGGGCGGGTGTGTCCATGAAAGTTCAGCACCTCAGGGGCTTTGGGTTTGAAGTCTTGGGATGAGATTGAAGGTTCGAAACCCTAAACCCTAAATCCCTAAGCCCTAAACCCTAAAGGGCTGAACCAGATCCCTCTTGCCTCGGAGTCAGTTCATGAAAGCTCAGAGATTGCTTTTTGCAGCTGAGCCCTACCTATAGTTTCCATTGTAGTGCCTTTTTCGGTTTACTCAATTGTATCGTTAGGATCCTATAAGGTAACCCCAAAAAAAAACAACACTATAGGTAGGTTGCATAGCATTGATTCGGGATATGGATGCATGCAGCAGTCTGCTCTTTGATACCATGCCATGGTGCCTCCAACCCTGTGTTGCACTTCTGGTGATGCGCTACAGCTTGCCAAACATACTATAGGGGCCTGAATAAAGAACAGGGTTTCGGGGTATATTTTCCTATGCTTATAACAAGGACCCCCCGAAAATAATATGGGTAATTTTTCAGGTCCCTATATTATACCAGAAACTCAGCGACTTATGGAGGCCCTGATCTTTTGAACAGCATCGTTCGCTGGTCCCACTGTCGTCACCATCACCAACCGACCCTCGGCCTTCGGCCCTGCACGCTGCCCTTTTCAACGAACTACACTGATATAGAAGCCATAATCAGGAACCCTCATTTAGGGTACCTTTTTTAGTGAGAAAGGTAGGTCTTTTCAGCTACAGGTGTACCCTAAGATGTTTCTCGGGCGAGGGGGAGCAACGGTTTAGGGTTTAGGGTTTAGTTCTTAGTGTTTGGGGGTCTACGGTTTTGTGGATTTAGGAGTATGGGGGTCTTGGGGATTTAGTGCTGAGGTCGTTTGAGCTTACGGTCTCTGGGATCTCAAGCTCAAGATCTGATCACTTCAAGGCTGGCTGAGCAGCTATCTTCGGAGCAAGCCCTAAACCCTGAACCCAAAGCCCTGAACCCTAAAGCCTATAAGCCCTAAGCCCTGAACCCTAAACCCTCCTTCCAAATCCCTCAACCCCAAACCATAAGCACCCTAAACCCTAAACC